TGAAGAACTGTTTTAGTCCAGTCTATGAAAGTTAATGGGGTCCAAAACAACACACTCACTTTCACTTTATGGACAGATTTTTAAAAATATATTCCAGAGAAGAAAGACAATATGAGGATAAGTAAATTATGACAGAATTTTCATTTTTGGGCAATTTGTCACTTTAAGAGATTTACAAATGAAAATTGCAAGTATACAAGAGAATGTGAATTAGAAATACTTGCACTCTCTATGATTTACTTCAATAATTTTTGTTGCATGACTTATAGAGTTATGGTTATGTTAATTAGTTTGTTTTAGTCTATCATTTAGTTTCAGTGCAAGCACGTTTTCAGAACATCTAGACTTGATTTCACAGATCTTTATGGCTTTAATGATATATATAGAGCACAGCAGAGGGTCTCTTTCAGAGTCACAGGAGGAGCTGCGGACTAAGTGGCCTCCTGAAAATGACTTTATGAGTTATGATCGCTTCAGGGCAAAGCTTACACTAACCCTCAGGAATACTAATCTGGTTATTTTATTAAAATGTGTTTTGGCATTCTCGCTTTTTGGCTCTTTCTGGAATGGGGGTTTGGAAATGAGAGTGGAACATAAAAAAATGTGTGTATAAAAGTGTATAAAATGCATAATCAACACATGCAACTCTAGTGCAACTACTAAGTAGGCATTTTACTAGTGAATTTTTGGAGTATAGCTATAACGTACATGCATGCTAAATTTTGTTATAGGCTAACAGAGACTCTTAATGTTATTAGTTAATTATTTAAACTGGGATCAATCTTTTTCACTAAATTATACTGATATGTAGCTGATATTTTAATATCTAAATAGCTTAAATAATGTTCTCTATGTATTTTTGTATTTTTTATAACTAGTTGTACAACTAACCTCACAGGCATGATAAATCTTTCATGATTATTGTCTTTCATTCATTCTAACATTTAACCAACAACCTACAAATAAAATAAATATAGGCCTACAATTATATTTAAAGGAATCATAATTTTAGACGGTAGAACAAAAATGTATCAGTCTGGGAATGAGACTGGAACATAAAAAGAGTTTGTGATTAAAGTGCTGGAGAGAAAACACACAGCTTGCTCTGTATCAATTAACGGTCTTTTGAAAATCTACTGTTGACTGCTGCATTCACTTTGTAGGAGGCAATCAAATTAAGCTTTTCAAAAGTATACAATTTCATTGAATGTTTCTCTGGCAGAAGAAAGACAGAAAGAGAGGGAGAGGGGAAAGGATGTGGTGAGGGCAACAGATTCAAAAAGTGAGTCATTTCTTCCTGAATATCTTTAAATAAATGCATAAATCACTGTCATTACTGGGGTCAGACCTTGCATCAACCTCAAGAATGGAAACGTAAACATGTTGTGTATATGTTTAGATTTTCGTGCACAATGTGAATCAATATGAAATTAGTTTTGGCCCAATAGAGCCATGGATTGTATTTGAAATGAAAAGGATGAGACTACAAATCAAGGGAACTGGACCAGAAATACAAGACAACCACACATGAATACACACACACATGTGCCTGTTTCACTCTTTGTCATTGGCTCAGTCGAGCACCTGAGGTATGATGAAGAGGGAGCCAGAAGAAAGGGAGAGTTTACATAAAGGAAAAGAGGAATAATCAGATGAGTGCTGCTCCACAGGTGGGTGAAGCCATTTAAAGCTGGATCAAAAACAGGCTCTACCTGATCAAACTTTAATTTTGCCGGCACAGAAGATGATTACCCACACCAAGGCTGTCGAATCTCTCTACCGTTTGGCTGTAAGGCTGAGCTTTATGGGTTTTGACTGGCGTTAAGAGCCTATGCACAGATGGGCTTTAGCTTTCATTTTGATTTAATGTCTCATCTTTATATTTTTTGGGTAAGGCATGAGTCTATTTAAAGCATTCAGTGTTGAGTAAAGAAACGTCTCGGTGTGCAACCCAGAATGAAGTTATTCTACCAAGTGTTTGTAACAGGTCGACCATGAGAGATTCCATCGGCAATATCCAAGGGTGAATTAACTAAGCAGTTGCACCAGTTTTGGTGCAGCATTTCAAAACAAAATCAGTGTCTAGTGTTGTGGAAGCTACACTCTAGTTTGCCAAGCTACTCATAAAATAAAATGCAGATAAAGCAGCTAACTACATTAACTACTTACAATATACAGTAATGTATACTTATCCAATAATATAATTGAATCAGAACTGCAGTTTCCTGGCATTTAAACAATAAAGGTTCTCAAGGGTGATAACATCAAATGTCAGCGATTAAATTTACACTAAATGCATTTAAAAACTACAATACACTATAACTTATATAACTGCGTTGATAACGTAGTGATGAAATGAATATTTGTCTATATTATAACATAATACTTAAAATGCTATTTAGAGACTTTATTCTTTGGTCTGTTCATCTGTAGGAACCGATTCATTAGTATGAACAGTTTAGTAACGACAATTTTTCAACTGTACTTACCAGACAGAGGTCTGTTTAGGACTTTCAAACACTACATATAAGTGAGAATTTTTTGAAGTTGTGTCTAATTTATGTCTCAACAAACTTTATTTTCCTGCTAAATAAAATTTCACAAGAATTCGGTTTAGGACGATCCGATTCACTAAAAACAATTTTAGGAAATTTTAACAGACTTTCCAATGCTGCATGACAGAAATCTTTTTAAGTTGTGTATAATTTATGTGTGAAAGCCTACAAAGACTTTATTTTACTTCAAAATAATAATAAAAAACGCCATTTAAAAAAAAAGAATTTGCCAAAAAATTACATCATGACTGAACAGCACCATTCAATAACCAGTTTAACCAGGTGCTAAATATGCTGAAATACATTTGGTTGTCTGCTGCATCCTCTAAATCCTAGCACTCACATTACAGACAGCACGTACCAATAAACAATGCTATCAGCGTGTGCGGTTCATTCTTAGTGAATTCATTCCCACCCTCGGTGCGCAATTACACTGTGAGCTATTGCAGCAGAGAAAACAATTTGCTTGTTACCCCTCTAAAAGCTGCAGGAGTCCATTTCCTTGGTCATCTTTCTGTCTGCTCTCCTTGGACATGAGGAGAAATGTGTAGACATAATAAAAAAATTAAATCAATGAATCATGAATAACTAAAATATAATTCACAGTGATGAGGTGACTTATTGCTGCTCTGAATATATGATATTTCTCAGTGATTGTGGTGGGTGGTGTCAGTGAGACACTATTACCGGAGGGTGCAAGCTAAGAATGGAAGAATGAGCAAGGAAGCTATGTACACTGTCTGCACTATACTGGGCATTTAGCAGTGGAGATGGTGATGTCCTACAGCTTTGATACATGCTAAACAGACTCTTGAGTGGTCCCCACAGGCGTTGAGCAGCAAACAGTGGCTCCCTACTTCAGTGGCATTTAAAATAAGGGGCTGGCAGGACACTAGACTATGAGGGGCATGAAGTGTTCTTCTATCTTACTGTATGCTGCATAGTTACTGGAGAAGAAATTAATAATGAGGAGAAAGTTTTGCTCTAGAAAAAGTACAAACTTTTACATTACATAACCCTTCTGTGATTATATTTGGCTCCAAGGCTTAGTGATATGGAATATGGATTTCTGTGGTCATATCAGAAGAACTGATATATGATGTGTCTTAAATCAAACACACACCACCTTGAAATAAATGCCTGAAGCTTGTAACTATTTCGATTCCTCTTGTTTTTCACAACATTTCTGATGAGTAGTACATCTCATCTTCTCTTCATCTTTCATGTTTAACCACTCCCTGTTCATCATCTTTATTTCTTTTTGAGCGTGAAAATTCTGTATTCATCAGTACGTTTGGTTGGTTGCGTAGAGTGGGCAGCTGAAGAGTGAGTTTATTCTGTAACATCTGCTAATTATTCTCGCTCTCTATTTCATACAGTCTGTTTGATCTACTGTCCTGTGGAGTATGAGCACACGGCAGCAGGTCTGCCAGCAGAGAGGCTGAATTTGGGGCATGGGAGGGCAACCATTCCACACACTGCTTCTCCTTATGGCTCTTCCTAAAGGTAGCCTGGGTTACCGGATATCTGCATGGATTCTCGTGGAAAAAAAATCTATTGAGTCTCTAAAAATCATTAGGAGGCTGTCAACTCACCTCTGATCCACTAAGTCACAAACCAGGGTCAGTCAGAGAGGCAGCAGACAAACTGTGACCATCCATCGATCTGTCCTGTATGTTCTTTTGACTTCCATGTTTGTATTTTCCAGCAGCCTTAGAAACAACCAAAAGTGCTTGCTAGAGCAATGAAGGTTGCAATTCTATGCATTGTGTAGGATACTTTGTGTCCTATAATCAACCCTAGACCATCATTGCAACCTTTTGTTTTCACTTAGCATTTCCAACATAAAGTGTACTCGAAAGAGAAACCCATTCCACTCACTGAAATGTTACCGAATGCAAAACAACACACCTTGTCAGCTTCTTAAAATATGTCATTGCTCCTATCCAGCAGGAAACAACTTTGCCTTCATCACTCTGTGTTTATTAAAGGACAGGCCCAACACAGTTTGAGTTTGGAGATATGAATCACCAATCCGTTTAGTGCCAGTGAGCGACTGCAGAGTAGATCGCTTGCTTGCCAGAGCAGACGACTCGTACCGGAGAGAGTTAATTAGTGCAAATGCGCAGTTGTTTTATTGGGCCACTACTGGCAATGAGAAGCATCATTAACACAAACTCCCCGTCCCTCAGATCTAATCAGTGAAGCACTGCTCATTTGAAATGAAGGTGTGTTAACATTCACCAAATTCGACATGTATTACGCCATTTTCTGGAGGGTTTCTTAGAGGTGGGTAAATGCCAATTCAGCCACAATCCTCCTCCAGGCAAAATGCCAATCGCTACTCCCTGTCTTTCAAAGCCTAAAGGTCCTGAACCTTAAAAGCCTCAAGTTAAATTCTAGACCTCAAAGACACTAGTAATGAAAAAACTGTAATTTCTCGGAATGACATTTAATTTATTATTATTCCCATGACATTATCTTACAGGTGAAAATATGTCTGGCTCTACCAAAATAAGAGTGAATAAAAACCATCTTGAACATGTATGAACAATCAAGTGCATGTTATTCGTTATTACTTACATTACAAAGTATGAATACATAAATACAGTTCAAGATTTTACACTTTAAATAGATTGAAAAAACATTATTGCATGTCCACACTACAGTTGAGCAAGTACAAACGTACTCTACCCTACTAAACAACACAGGAAAAAAACAACAATTAAAAACGGGACATTTTCAACCAGTGGTGAACACTGCTAAATCCATTAAGAGATACAATAGCTCAATCACATGCTGTATTTCTGCACCAAATAATCATGTAAATTTGCATATTCTAAAAAGAACATTTTAATGAAAAGCTTTTTTCTGAATTTTCATGTACATTTTGCTTAGTCAGTTTAAGGTTGCTCAAGGATATCTCCTCTAGTTCTTAATAAATAAAACAATGGCATTAACATTCTAATTTGACTTCAGGTTATGCTTAATTTCAGCCAAATGCTGATTGGACTCAACTGCTGATAAATCATAGTGCACTGAGGCAGGAGAGGTTCATCTGTGTGTTAATGTGGGGAGACAAAGGCTGTACGAAGAATGGAACAGTAAACAACAAAGTAAAAAGTCCCGCTATCTTTGAGTCGACATTGCAACACACAGAGATTAAACAAAAAAATCACTACTCAACAGGAACTTTGGCTGAACGTAGAACCTAAAGATCAGAAAGTTCACAGCACACTTGGAGGGGTCTTGTTGAACATTTAAACTATCAGTCTAAACTATATTCTTTTTTATTCCCCTTTTCCCTCTCGTTCTGACCAGAGCTAGCTGGTTGGTCCAGGGTGGCGTTGAAGGTCATGGCTGTGGAACAGAGGGTGTAGTAGGGGGTGGATCTGCAGAGTGCTGGCAGCAGCAACAGCAGCAGCAGCGGCGGCAGCCATGGGCATTGGACTGAGCATCGTGGGGAGCAGAGAAGCGTGAGGCAGGGGGTGGAGAGTCAACCCAGGAACATTATGGTGATGGTGAACAGGGTGGAGGGATGAGGCTGGGATCAGGTGGAGGGATTGAGCTGCCAACACAGTAGCAGGTGGTGCTGAAAAAAAGGCAGCAGGAATTGGAGGGGCAAAATGGGCCTGAGAGAGAGAGGGATGAAGGGGAGGCAGCAGGGCAACAGGGGAAGGGTGTGGAGCAATAGAAGAGGGTGGAGAAGAGGGCTGGAGTATGCTGTATGGCAGACAGGCTGAAAGTGTAGTCTGGTCGGGTGGCTCTGGAGTTGGTACTGGTAAATGGGTCATGTCTGCAGATGCTTGCTTTTGAAGATGCTGCTGCTGCATGTGCTGCTGGGCCTGGAGTTGAAGCAATCTGTACTTCTCAATCTCATCATCAGTGAAGGTGATTGGTTGCTCTGAAAGGGGAGGGGTTGTACGTTTTGGACAATGAATCCCTGCAATTTCTGCATTGTCCTCTTGGTGTCTAATGTTGAGTTTTTGTGACAACGTTTTGTCTGGATTCAGAGCTAAAGCAGCACAGGTTTCTGTTGATCTATCCTCCTTGCCATTTTCAAGACAAGCTTGGGATGTACTGGGATTTTGCCCATCTGTGTGTCGTAAGTGTTCTGGAGTATTACTGTCAATTTGAGGTATAACTTGTGGATTTGATGAAACAGTTGAACATGTTTGAACCTGAACCTGGTTATTAATACTGGCACTTGCATCTTTATTAATCCTTATTTTTCTTGCCCCTTTCTTAATACAGGGTAATTTACCAATTAGTGGAAACAAGAGAGCGACATTTGCTTTCTTTACTTTAGGATCCTTCTCAACCAACTGGTCTGTCGGCATTGGGTTAGATTTGTCTGTAACATGATCTATCCCAACACCTGATTGTAAGGATGTAGTCTGAGCTGTATGGTTACTTGTAGCTGATGGGGGTGAATGACTCCTCTTTCTAAGAAGTGAATGGGAGGATTTGGTCTTGACCAATCTCTCGGATGGCCATCCAGAATGACTGCAATGTTTCTGGCTCTGTCTAGTAGGAGATGGCCTAATATGAGAATTAGACAACCAGTCCCCACTAAGATCAGAGATGCTAGTGCTACTAGAGGAACTGGGGCTACGAATGGACACTGGCTTGTTATACCACCTGTCTTCACACCGTTCAGGACTTGACCAAGGAAGTTCTTCTCTCTCCCGGTGCCTCCTACCTACAGGGCTAAGCCTTTCATACCACCAGTCCTTGACATCCTCTTGAGGTTCAGGACTGTCATAGACTCTATAAAACAACTGCCTGCCTGTATGTTGAATTCTATGCTCTCTGTATTTATGCTCCTCAATAAACCTTTTGTGCCTTCTGACGCTGTACCTCTCATGCTGATCTGGGCTGTTACAAACTGTTGAATATTTCTGTTTATTGTAGACATAAGAGTCTGTGTAATGTTCAAAATCTCTGAATGGACTATAACTGTAGTGAGGATCATTGTAAGAGGAACTTCTAATGCAAGACCTGGACTGACTGTGCTCCTTTCTCAAAGGGTACAAATAGTTTGATCTTGGTGAGGTGGAGCATCTCCCTGTGTGGTACACAGGCCATTCCCCATCTGAGTTTAAGTCTGACAGGCCACTCCATGACCCAGATTTGTCACTGGTGGGAGTTGAGGCAGCATCCCTCTTTGAATCGTAGGTGTCGTCATACCAGCGATAATTATCCTCTCTTCCTGTCGTGTTGTGAACAGAATATGGCAAAGGCCTTCGCCTTACCAAGCGCAGTGCCGACACAAGCCCCCTCATCGTTTGACATTTCTTCCTTTTACGTGCCGGGGCGGAAAGCGAGCTTACAACAATGCTTTTGAGGCTGTGCCCTGGGGTGTCACTTTCATTTGAAGTCTCATCTCTCACTGATCTTTTCCTCTTCCCCAGCTTGTGCCTCCTCTCTGTGCAGGCTTGCTTGTTTTGTGGCATGTCGGTTGGAGTGCTTTGGAATTCAAAGTGTCCTCTAGCTTCTGTCTGCGAGCAGGTTTTGAATGCACAGCCCACTTGCCGGATCCTGACAGCATCTAATTTACACCTACGTTTTTTCCCCTGTGTCCTCTGTTTGGGTCTCTTTGGTTTTAAAATGCCTAATTTAACTCCAGGAACATCCTGTGTTTGTGGCCGAGCTCTGTCATTCTGGCCTGCGAGCTTGTCGACAACACCAAGATCTGTCTCCATAGCCTTTGTGCTTTTTACTTTGCCCTCCTTGTGTTTGAAATGGTAGTATAGAGGGTTACAGCTGTAAGATACGTATGGCTCGTTGGACGTGTACTGCACCATCTCAAAAGGCCATTTTGTCACACTTCCATCCTTGCTGAGTACATTAAGCAAAGAATCTGTATTTTCATCCTTACACACTTTGTGTATTTTATACTCCTCTGTCTGTTTATCTGATATACAGTTCTTCTCATTTTGCATAATACCCTGTTCGTTGCTTTTCTGTGTGTGGTAGTGTGAGCCTTTGTGTATTTGAGGTTGGCCTTGGGCCATGGTGCCCTGTCCATCTGTGTAAACAGTAGGGCTGGGGCACTTGAGGCATTCTCTCTCCTCTGATCCCCCATAAGCCCCCTCTGCCCTGGGCCTCTGCCCCCCATCAAGCAATCTGTCCTCTGAACCAGCTGGCTTCCAGTCTGCTCCAGGACTTTGTGAGTCAGGACACCCCAGCTTCTCAGGCTCACTTGTGCTGTAGTTTGCCTGAATTTCAGGGCTTTCCACATGTTCTGCTTGTGCTTCCATTTGTGGTGTTTGAGAGCCTCCATACGCCCATCCCAGAGTCGGTGGATCATGGGATAGATCGTGGTCATCATTACTTGGGGTTCTGGGTGAGCTCGAGCAGGACCAGAGGGCCTCTAAGGCGAGTCTGTGCCTATGGCGCTGGAGCTCTTGATATTCACTGGTCTCCTTAAGTCCATCACTGAACACAGACGCACAGGAGTCAAGCTTCATTTGAGCTCGCCTGGAGAAACAGAACGAGACTCCTGCCCTGGGGCTCCGGTGTCCTGCAGAGGATTTTGTCTGTAAGGGGTGCTTTTCGTGACATAGCTGCTGATGTGTGGGTATACGAGTAGAGGACAAGCCCTTCAAAGAGACATTTGTGGAGATGGGAGTTGAGTCTTGGACCGAGGATGCTGTTGGTTTTGTGTCAAACTTGCTACTGACAGCCGAGGGGATTTTAACTTGATCCTTATCCTTGTTTGTAGACCTTAACTTTGGACCTTTCCTGTCATCACTGTTGGCAAGAACAGAAGACAGTGTTGTTATTAGGCAGAGCTGAAAGATCTAATTTCTCTTTAAATCTAATATGTGGTGCATGCATGCATTATATCAAATTGATATTGTAAGTATATAATGTTTTACCTGTCTCTTTGCTGTTTAATCTGTGCGAGCTGGTGCAGTCGTCTCAGAGCTCTCTTCTGCTTTTTCTCATCCTTCCAGGACTTGGAGGAGACATTCCTTGCAAATTCTCTCTGCTTCAACTCTTTCAGCCTCTGTCAGACAAAACAGACACAAAGACATGAGAAAGTCTGGAAAGCAATCCATGAAAAGGCTTTCCATGAAAACAACATTTGTTTGGCTTGGATAAAGGAGGAAAGTCCTAAAGAAGGAAAGTCTAGGTCTAACCTGGGGTTCAAACTGGGGCAGAACAATCCTTAATAGCCTTATGACACCTTTGATTTGAAAGAGAAACAAAAACATATTTTTCTAACACTTCTGTTAATAGAGACTGTACAGTCCGTCAATTTCCCGCATAAAAGACTCCTTTGAAATGGCACAGACCACACCGATGGATGCCTGTCTATTTATCACTTCATTCCTTTAGGGCAGAGAAGAAAAAATCGAAACAAAGTAAACAGAAAATCAGCAAAGCCAAAATACAATCACAAAACAATAAAAGTGTCAGTGGTGCCTGAATTTGTTCAGCAGACATGAATGGAAAGTCACATGAACACAGCCAAACATTTTTGACTTCAGTCAGTAGGGAAATAAAAGGGAAAACCATATTTGTCTTGTGAGAGGCAACGGAAATGTAACTCACTGCATCCTCTCCTTCCCTTCTACAGGACCACTGTATTTCCCTCATACTGCCAGTACACAGATGTTTAATTTGATCAGGTAATAAAAACACTTACTGTACATATAAAAGAAAGGAAAATTTGTCTTTAATTGGTATTAGCCAAAATGTGGAATGAGCTGTCAGTGGTGTGTCACAAACTCAAAGCAGGTTAGTCTTTCCAAAACTTTTATTTTATGATCACATGCATTCACACACCATACCAAGATTTTGTTGGTGGGTGTGAAGGGAGTGCCAAGAGGAGGACAGTTCCCCTCTGCTGCATGGTGACAAGCACTGACAGGAAAAAAACACTGTATCTGTGAGAAGTTAGCAAGCTAACTCCCAACAGAGCCCGCTGACTTTACACAGCAAAACACACTAATGATGCCTGCTTCAAGGGGGCTGCACAGAAGATTTTTAGAGTATACACACACCAGTGGAACCACAAAAATGTTAGGGTATACTTCATCTTTCAAAAAACAAGAACATTGATACGGTGGACGAGCAAACTCACACTTCAGTAAACAAATATACAAATTTCAGATAAACAGAAATGTGACTTCCAACCTCTTTGTTTTTTTTCAATAAATTTCTCTTCATTCATAAACTGATTGCTGATGTGATTCATTATTAGTACATGATTTCTCTATTCAGTAACATGAAGAGAAATTCTTAACTCTATTCTTCTCACTTTGCAGCAGCATAACAAATTAATATATGCATACAATACTGTAAATAAGAAAGTAAATGGCACACAGAGAGAACAAGAGACACGATTTTCCTTGTCTTCAGATTTTGACCTGTCAACACAAAGGCAGAATGTGGGTGCTGTTTTATTCTAAAAAACACTAATAATGCCTTAGATATCTTACAAAACCTTGCCTTGCTGCCTAATTGCTACATAAGAAGCATGTTGTTGCATTTAAAAATGTGAGACGAAGGTCAGAGGAATGGAAAAAAATGCTATATATTTTTTTAAAGTTGCACTTATATTAACTTGAGTGCGGTGCTGAAAAAGTGGCCAGATGCAAGTGCTATGGTCAAAGACATGCATCAAGCATGTGCTTACATAAAAAACAATGGAAAACCTGTGAAGTGGAATGCATAAATGCATTCTGTGTGAACAGCCCCTATAGCATCCACCAGTAATTTTTATATTTCTAAGTGACTGATTCGGAAAGCACTGCAGAACTTAAAAAATTACGCGCTGTACTATTGTTATCGCTACTTTTCAGTACTGAATGAAATATAAGAAATTTGCCATCTTGGATTTATTTTCCACTAATGCAAGTCTCATAGAAATATGCTAAATTTTATGGCTTTTTAAAAACACTAGATCAGCCTCTTTTTCTAATTAAGTGTTACTCCAGAAAGCACTGCTCTCTCTATCGATCTTTTACAGCATGGAAACATTATGATGTCTTTGGCAGAATGAGATGTTTATAGTATAAATCTATTCCATGACTGATATGATTGATAAGGCACATTAAAGTATTTGCCGCTAATGTTGATGAGCATGTCTAAACGCTCTACTCATAATTAGCTCTGGATATTCTCATATTCATGATGCCTTAGATTTCACCCTTCAGAAGATAATTTGAAATTTCAATGAAACATCTGCCTCATGAATAACTGACAGATAAGGAAGAACAAAAGAATATTTGAACCATCAAAAGGAAAATATATTTTAAACTGTCAAAAAGAACTCATGTCCTCTGATCATACTGATTGGGCACGAATCGAAAACATTTTATGAAAAGATGCAAAAGGATCCTCGGATTTTTAAAACCTAATTTTTGTAAAGTGTTACAGTATAAAGTACTACAGTTGGTCCAGTGGCATAGACTGCAAATCACACGCACACACATACTTTAACCCTGAGTTGTGTTGGGATTAATGAGAATTGGAGGTGATGAGATGCTCTAATTGACCTCCGACCTCAAGTCCATTAAATCAATTCTGTTGTGTGCTAATGATCAAACACTGACGGATTAATCAATGTGAAAGAACAGAGGTTTGTCTGAATGTGATGTGCAAGGATAGACCCTTTAGCATATTATTGATGAAAATTTATTTTCACTACAATGTGGAAAAGCCCATTAGGATACTTTTATAAACCGAGGAGTAGCTATTCTGAATCTTAATTCAAGAGTAATGCAGCAGTTTGCATCTCATATAATGTAGGGCCCTGCATCTCAAACACACTGAGATTCACCAGTTGAGATAACAGACCTCAGGGTTTTATGTTGCTACTAAAAATCCTAATGTTAATAGACCTTAAAGGAATCCCATCAATAGGGTGCAGGGTAAAGAGCCTGTATCAGAGCTATAAAGGCACTATAGTGGAAACTATGGCCGATGTGCAAGGCATTTTAAAGACAATAAAATGCTGTGAACTGCACACAGCATAAGGTTTTCATTAGTTCTCTTTTTCATGGTTAACCCTCTGTAAAAAAGCTAAAACTGGTGTTTATTGGTGCTGGCCTGGTGGGATCTCTCCATACGAGCGAGTGAACAAACAAAGAAATAAAGAGGAGGAAAAAACATGCTCTGTTAACCATGTGTCACCCTTTCTTTCTCCACTTCTCACTGGGACAAACTCACTTGCACCACTTCTGCACACAGTATTTTAGTGGAAATCTTACTCACTAACCAATTGTAATTAAATGCACTGAAAAAGCATTTCAATTAAGCAACTGTCAGCTTTTTCCACACAAACACACTTTCCATGTAAATGCAATGTACATAATGTGCAGAAAATGTTTTATGTACATTATTAACATTACACAAAGTAGTGAAAGATTCTAGTAAAATATAACCTGCAAAATATGAACTAGCACAATGAAAATGCAGTTTAGCAGAGATTTTGTTGCCATTTTTGGAACTGTTTTCATTATTCCTTTAGTGAATCGGCTGCTAAAACACCCCCCTTTGTCTGCCTTTTTGTCTTTTTTATTCGCTCTTTTATTAAGGAACAAATCTCCAGGGCAGCTAGATATGGCCTTAATATACTGTCCTGTCTAGAGTTTCTGTCAACTTCCACATTATATCACAACCTTGAGCAAACACAGAATTGAGTCATGATCACACTGTCCCACACTTCACTTTGCCAAAGAAATGATTAATGCTCTACAAAAACAACACATGACCTGAGTATCGAGCAGCATTCTATCACATTACAAACACATTTAACACACACACATCGCTCATAATGCTAACTAATGATTCATACACAAACGCAGGTGCAATGGTAGTGTGAAATCTGGTCTGACAGCTGACACTGACTGAACTCGGGCTCACTGTTAGCAGATTTGCCATTTTAGCACTGGGACATGAGCAGGCTGTTCCCTAATTGGCTGAAACATCTCTGTCCACCTCGCAGAGCTCAGACATGGAGGTGTCACCTTGTAACATTTCACCAGGAACAGGCCTAAAAAGAACTGGATTTCTGTCTGCTACTTTTTTTGTGTGAATTTGAAAAGTCATTGCGGTTCATCTGCTCCCCTCAGTTTGGGTCATGCAGACAGCTGTCATCTTTACAGGCTTCAATGCCAATCATGGCTGCCTTGTACAGTCATGTAACTCCAATGCAGATCTTTCTACAAAAGGGATGGTTAAATCCATTGTTTGCATGCTTGGGTGGTATGTTTTCATATCAACAGCTAGATATTCTGCTATATCTTTTCTACTGCAGAATAATTTTCAGTTCAGTTGAGGTGCCTTTGTTAATTATAATGATTCGTTTTGAAACCATGCAGCTTGCGCCTGGTGTTAACACGTTGCAGCTTTTGGTTGTTTACGGGTGCCAAACAACATCGCAACTTACCATATTAATTCAGAATTCAGTTGATGTGCGTTCACACTGTCACGGGTATTCATATCTTCAAATGTGGCTCATCCATTTAGATTGATAATTTACTACTGTTTTAAGTACTGAAACTATACATTCATTTATAATGAATAATCTTAAATTTTTGGTTTGCATCAATCAAGTTCCAATAAATAAAATAAAATAATCAAATAACATAAGACATGTCATGCAGATGCAAGACATGCAGATTTTTGCTTCGCAAGATGTTAGATCAGGGCTGTCCAAACTCGGTCCTGGAGAGCCGGTGTCCTGCAGAGTTTAGCTCCAACTTGCCTCAACACACCTGACTGGAAGTTTCTATGCCTAGCAAGAGCTTGATTAGCTGGTTCAGGTGTGTTTAATTAGGGTTGGAGCTAAACTCTGCAGGACACCGGCCCTCCAGGACCGAGTTTGGACAGCCCTGTGTTAGATGATAGAATGGAGTCATGTGGATTATTGGGATGTTTTTATCAACTGTTTGGACTCTCATTCTGACGGCACCCATTCACTGAAGAGGATAGTGAGCAATTAGTGAGCAAGTTATTTAATGCTAGCTTTCTCCAAATCTGTTCCTATGGAGAAAC